TCTTCTTCCCCTTTCACTCGCCGCGATATACTCTCGGGACACCCGGTACTTGCGTTACGCGGAATGCGGTTTACATTTTAGCATCTAACAAGAAAAACGCTCGGCGATCGAGATACGAATCGAGTCGATTCTTCAACGTTGAAAATGCTGATTTAGCGTTGACGGGATTACCGTTTGCCGTGCAAACTGTCTTTAGCAAAAACGCAGAGCCGCTTGTTGTTCTACGACGTAACACGCGTTACGAGTCTCTCCTCGCGATAAACGGGTCAATTGTATTCAAGCCGACGAATTAACAAAAAGATCGGTCGGCGATAAAAATAGACGTCGCGTGAGGATCGCGATAGAGTTGCTTCAAATATGAAGAGAGACCGCTGTAAAACGCGAAATAATTTGTCTTTTAAAGAAAATTGAAATCACGAGTACACTTTTATTCTCCTTGAATATAAATGTCGAATGAATCGGCATTCTTTCAAAGACGTAATTACTACCCTTGAAGTTTGACTTTTTCCTCGCGTCGCGCGCGCCAATGTCGTTTTAATAGCGCGATATTTCATGTTTAAATAAGGCCATATTCGACTTAATACGATTGCGTATTGCCTCGTAATCATGCCGCCGTGCTTGCATTAGTAATTATTGCAAAACGACGTACGCTCGAACAATATCTAAGAACGTGATCGTCGCAGATGATACAATTGACAACATACTCGAGACCAATATACAACCCAATTAACGAATTAGCGAGCGAATTGAGATTCGATCTCTAATTAACTAAGCTACATAACATACGTCCTCTACATAGATGTATAGATAATTGAATTTTCCTTGTCGAAAAAAAAAAAAAAAACCAAAACGATGTCCGTGCTTATTTCCCGATAAAAAAGTCAAAATCTCATCGTAAGAAAAACTTCAGGTAAAGTGTCTGAAGTCTTTTTGCAGACACGCTGTCTAAATTTTCAGACACAAATTTCTGAACTTTCAGAAAAACTATTCTGATAATTAAGACAGATTATCTGAAATTTCTATCAGACACCCAGATTTGAAAATTCAAACAAAACGTCTAAATTCTTAGGCAATTTTTTTATAATGCTCATGAAAAAGAACGAGGACACGTGCAACGTATAATTATGATGAAAAAATTGTTATTTACGATAGTATAACTTACGATAGTATAACTAACGAGGCACGCAATTGCGTGACGACGTGATGGCTTTACGTTCTACAAAGAGTAGTATGTGGAAAATTGTGTGCAACAATGTATGCATAAGCGGCTCATAGCCCGAGAATGCGCCATGAAAGCACGCTCTCTTAGCAATTATTATAGTCGACGATCTTGAGAAATCGTTTCTCGATAAGCGAGATTTAGCCATTAAATGGAGGAATTAATTATCAAATGTCAGAAAAGGATCGTTTACTTTAATATATAATAAGATCTTATTGATTACTCTAGTATCGAGATATTTACACGCTTGAATTCGACTCGACGAAATTTCGCGCAATTTTTATCACATTTGCGTCTCATAAAAATATGATGACGCAACAGATTCGGAATCACGGGTTCTCTTTAGCGTAACAATGCCGGCCAATCGTCCGGTTGGGCGCATGTGCCCTTGGTACGTGTTAATAGCGCAACAGCAACGGTGACATTCCGTGCCATCGTTGGCATAGTATTCTTTCGCTCGGGGAGCAAGCACAGGCTATCCAATTACGATACAGCGAGCGAAGTCGGCTTAGACGTCATCGTCGTTTATGCGGATTAGTATTGTCAAGCAAAAATAGCAGGGAGTAGTAATATATCTTCGAATTATAAACAATTAAAAACTCGCATTTTATCATTCATTCCAATAAACATTAGTCTCTCGTCGATTGACACGCAGACATGGATCGGGAAGCATACTATAATTTCAAAAGAGGTGATTTGTGATCGTCGAATTTATTTCGCGTGCGACAACGGTTTTTAATAAAATATTTATAAAATAATACAATTTCTTTATTAAAAAAAATTAAAATTTGTTTTGATATATTTTAGATAAGAGATTTCTTTTTAATAACTTAAATTATCTTCTTGTAAATGAAAATATATATAAATGTATATATATACATATTATATATATTTATATATTTTTATATTAACAGTGCCTATTAAGGAAAATACGATGATTTATGAAGAACACAAGAACTTTTAAGATTATTCAAGTTTTAAATGTGTCAAAAATTTTCCAAATTTTAAAGTCAATTTTCTGGAATACAAAATCTCGTGTGAAAAGAATTTATTTCACGCTTTCGACTTATTTTTGAAGAAAAATCACCTCTTTTACCGTTCTACTGCGTTTGCTGACTCACTTTATGTACAACATTATATATAACACATGCTTAACTTAGGCCAGAAATACGAGATGTTTAGGTCAGATCAGGTCAAGTAGTTAAAAACCTCAGATTTTCAGATTAACCTAAACCTCTCTCTCTTAAGATTTTAATTAAGATAGAAACTTTATTTTTCACGTAACCAACTAGAACATTTCATAAATTATATATAATTGTGTGTGTATATAATTATAATTTTCTAAACAAAATATAATTTTAATAGTTTCAAATTTGCAAATTAAATTTGATTTTTTAATGATAAGAACGCCCGATTAAAGTGACAAGTACCCGGTTAAAGTGAGCAAGTACAGGTTGACAAGGTAAAATTTTCGAGCAGCATTGCATCTCGGCGCAACAGATTCATTTGTGCCAGAAATAAAGTGTCCTTCTGACAGTTCCAAAAAAAAAAAAAAAAAAAAAAAAAAAAAAAAAACTGGGGGTTTTTTTTTT